TTACAAGGAGAACATCGGTTTTAGAAAAGCTGGAAATGAAAAAATTTTGCTTCAGTATTTTTTGCATTCAGTAAAAATATATCACAACTCCACTACATTGTTCCTGTATTCTAAGTAACAAAATCTATATTATGAAAGTTGAATTCAAAAATGTGTTCAAATTGTTTTTCCGTTCACCAGCTGTTGCCCCCTTATAACGACAACCCTCAAACGTCAAAACGAGCTAAGGATTAACCTTTCAACGTGCAATGTATTGTAGTGTTAGATTAAAACATATTGAAATAACTGACAATATTTATCTCAACAGTTATGTGATGGAATTGGCCAATACTTGATAAAAAACGTATATTATTAGACTTACAACACAGTCGTTACTGACAAATATCAAGTAAGAATTTTCAAACAAATGATCAGTCTCATAATGTCGAATCACACTCCATTTTATTCCAATAAATGTTCGAAATGTTCACCATTCACTTCTTGGCAATAATGAAATCTGTTTTAACAAATTCACTTTTTAGATGTATTAAATGTTTTTGGGCATACACTAGTTCAACCGCAAAATTTCATGAAATTTAATTGTATCTAATCACTAAATCTAATATATAAAAATGGATGTTTGTTGGTTGGTTGGTTGGTTGGTTGGCTGGCTGGTTGGTTGCTTGGTTTTTTGGTTGGTTGGTTTTTTGGTTGGTTGGTTTTTTGGTTGGTTGGTTGGTTTTTTGGTTGGTTGATCTTTCAAATATTTCATTGTCTCTTCGACTGATATGTTTATGAACAGGAAAATTATATCGAAACTGACCAAGTATCGGGTGTAGAGCCGCACTTGAATATCTGGAGGCCATGGGAGTACGAAGGAGTTGAGGCCCCTATTTTTTGCTATAAAAATGGAAAAATAGTTAGTAAATTGCATTGCACTAATTTTAGTCTTCAACTGATGGGTACAAATTACACATTAAAAAAAGTATTGCCACTGAAATTCTCGATCAAATAAAAAATTGATAGTAAATGGAAACTTGCAATCAGGGCTTTCTGATGTAAGTAGGTATCCTTAACAATATTATTATGTTTGTTCAAGAATGCTTAGTAAACACAAAAAGAAAATGTTTGCGAGGAAAAACGTAAAAGATGCTTGCCCGTCGAAATTTGATTGGCCCAGGTCGGGTGCCAATGTCAAATCCTTTATTTTTCTAAAAAATCTTCCTTGTCTTTGACATTCCAATGTGTAATTTATACAGCAAAACCAAGTGTTTCGCTAGTTCGAGCGTTGATAAACCATTTAAAATGACAATAAGACGTAGTATGTGCATTTTGGTAAGGCGGTACATTTGAGATATTCGGTTTTCGTCGGTATTCTTCTTATGTTCTTCGCGATTGAAAACATCACGATTTTTTTGTTGACTTCTTAAGGGCCACCTGAAATTTTGCCATCTGCATATCATGTCAAGTTGTATGAGGAAGCCATATAAATCCGTAAAAACTTACTAGTAACAACCCTTCTAATAAGTAACTAGTCGAAACTGATTGATTCAACCTAGGTGATGAAAATATAAGGTGTAGATAAAAAAAAACAATATTTCTACTTTTTAATATGTCAAGTGTCATTAAAACGTTGCAAATTTCATCCTTACTCAATTCACTTCTTAGATGTTGATCCTTAAAACGTTTTACCATTTACAGAAATACCTCTTTCCATACGAAACATTTAGAATTTGCATATATCGAATTGTTTTTTGTTGAGAACAGAAAAGGAATAATTTCCAAAGTTACCATACCTATACTAAACCACTTTAGAAATCATTGTCATTAAGGCAGATAAGACAAATGAAACTTGTGATTACTTGAAGTAACTTAGGTCAATTCGGCTGTTGAAACACGTGATTATGTATATAGGAAAGAAAACAACAAATTATTGGCAAAAATAAAGTTTTCACTCCGTCAGAGTGATGGAGATTAACTACGCTTCAAAATTCAAAAAAGTTTTCCCGTGGTTTCGTCGATACAATAACTTAATGTGTATATATATTATACAACTTAACAGTTACTATTTTGCCATGTTAAGTATGTTAAAAAATATTTTGTTTAATTCCTCATCCATATCAGACATTAATATAACCTTACCACTAAATCCAAATTTAATTGAAAACAATGGAATTAATATTGCTCCAACCCCAGTTTTTTATAGTACTTTACCCTTCATTAAGGAGATCACCCCCAAACTCTCTAAAATTTTCAATGAATTACCCAATATTAAAATAGCCACCAAAGCAATTCTCACGATTAGAACTTTACACACCAGAGTTAAAGATAAACCCCTCATTACTTCTCGAATAAATGTAATATATAGTATTCCATGTCAATCTTGCAACAAAATCTATGTTGGTCAAACGTCAAGAACTTTAAGTTCCAGAATAACTTCTCACAAAAGCGATTGTAGACACCATCCTGAAAGATGTGCTCTAGCTGAACATGTCAATAAGTTTGACCACCATATGAATTTTGATGATGAATTTTGATTGAAACACATGTCTAGGTGTTAAAAATAACGGTTTGGTGTTAGGAAAAAGATTGTCGCTCACATGTCCGGTAGTAGCATCGCCCACTTGTCCAGCTACAACCAGCATACTTAAGGTGCTGTTTGTTGGATTTCAAGGAAATTTCACTTGACGTCGAGCGGTAACAGAAACGTGTCTATCACTAGCAGTTCTGACGAAGAAGTCATCATTATAGTGGCCGCATTATTGAATATAAAAGAAAATAGTCATAAAAAAGAATGTTGTGGATTCATCCCATTAATCAAAATTGATACGTACTCGTATATATCCACATTCATGTTCTTGACATTCGCTGTCAATATCAAAATGTTTTCAGGTCGATTGAAATAACCATCAATATTATTTATTAATTATTATTATACACAATGGATCCGGAAAAATCAATCAGTGATCAGACAGGGAATCCGAACATTGAAATCGCCCAGTTGAAATTTGCTTTGAGTTTGCCCGAGTATTACAAAGACGAAACTATGATATCAGAGCTTCAGAATTTAATTTTCGCTGGAGACATGGCCCCATATTATGAAATTGTTTGTCGAGACTTGAATTGGATAATTGATGAAACGCTATTGGAAGAAATGAAATCTAGAAACGTTAAAGCAATAGAGGAATTTGATGAAACCATTGATAAAGCACTGACTAGTGCAAGTTTGATCGAAGTAAAGGTATTCAGCGTGAAATATATAAAATAAGCTTTTCAAAATTATTCAATAGATAGAAAAATATGTCTGCTTTAGCTATCAGAAAAAGCAATTTTATAAAAACGTATTTAGAAAGAGGCTGAATTTGCCAAAAATGGGTTCAAGTCAAGTCGTTTAAAATATTTTCCAGAAAAAGGTACTACTAAATTTGTGACTTTAGGGAAAAAAGAAATTTATTGCAGAATACATTTTTTATAAAGATAAAAACTTATGTAATAGATGAACTATAATGTTCATTTCAACAATTTTTGGCCGCGTTTCGAAGAATATCAGAACTTTTCCATTATCAGTATACATACTGATTTTGTATTGGCAATAACTTTTATTGATTTATTCATTATATCTTTTTTTGAGAGTAAACTGCTAGTGTAACTTAGTAACTTGTATTCATAAAATAAATTTTTCCTATGAAAACATCATTAACTGGCCTATTAAACATTTCAAAAAATATCTTTTCAAGGCAGTTTTGAAAGTGTACGACATCCGAAAACTAGAAACCATATTAATTTGTCTCTTTCTTTTCTATCCCATGTTTTTAGTTGTTTCTCAGAGTAATATTGAATGTATCTATCACATGCAGTAAGCTCTTTCATATATATTTTTGCCCTGCGACCTTAAAAAACTTAACTTAAAAATTTAGAATCATAAATAAATTAAAAAGAAAGTCAAATGCCTCGTTCAATTATAGTCCAGTGTTTGAATATATATGTTGTACTGACTGGTCAAACCCATAACGCCAAAGAAGGAAATAAGATTCCTCGCATATAGAGAGGTATCTATACAATTTATTCGATTTTGTAATAGTTTGAATTATATCAATGTTTTTTGATAGTTTTTGGCAGTATCGCCTCTAACTTTTGGTATGTCTTTCGAAACTTTTCCCCTCGTTAACTTTTCCTCCTCTTAACTTTTCCTCCTCTTATCTTTCGAACTTGACAAGATATCGAAGTCGAACAAAATTTTCAATAAAAAGGAATCATTTTCAGTACTTTCTGATAGAAAAGCCGATAGTGTGACATCACTTGTCGCTGAGAGGGCGATATCAANAAAGTGATTGATGGTATTCAATCTCCTCGAAATGTAACTCCAAACATGCTCTAGATTCATGTCTGGTGAGTTCGCCAAATCCATCATTGCAATTCCTCCTTCCTCCAGAGCGTTTTGCACAGCCAGTATTCGATGCGGTCGGGCATTATCATCCATAAATACAAAATCATTACCTATGGCGCATCGGAACACTCGAACCGGATCCAAAATGACATTTTGAAGGTAAAATTGCCCCGTTATTGTCTTAGGTACAATTATCAGTGGTATTCGTGTTCCAAAGATGATACCAGCCTACACCATAATGTTTCCACGTTGATTGGGATCGATTCTCAATGCCAAATTCAGTCGTTGCTAACGTCCTGTTGGTCTCCAAACACAAATGCGGTAGTTATCATTCATGAGCTCAAAACGGCTCTCATCGGAAAATATGGTATTTCGTCAACGATATTGGCTCTATTGTGAATGGGTTCTGGCCCAGTTCAAATGTCTTCGTCTGTGTGTGGCTTTTATTCTCGGTGCACACAAAACGCGCCTACATAATAAACCACCATTACGAAGACGGCTACGAATAGTGCGGCTTGACAAATTGATGCCATACGTTCTTTGGAAATGTCTTCCATAGCCTTGTGCTGTTTCAAAGGAGTTCCTGTGTGCATACTGCAACAGGTATCGATCCTGACGTTGTGTTGTCAGTCTTCTCCGACCGCTTCGATGCATTTTGTGAACATGACCAAGTTCTGTGAACCTCGAGAATACCCTAGAAACCGTGCTCTGGATTAAACCTAGTTCTCTTGTTATATGCCATTAGGTCCACCCTTGCTTCTGCATAGTTACAATTCTCATACGATCTTCTTCAGATAAACGTGCACCAGACACTGCACATGAATAACTCACTATATTATCAGACACTGATTTTAAGTTCTTCATTTGAAAATTTTTATACAATCGTGGTTTTGTGTGGTCTAACCATTCTGCTGATTTTTGCCGATGTTTCGGATTTAATTAAATTTTTCTTTAGGGCTCGAAAAGTACAGTAGTTTTTCCTTGTTGATAATATGACTATTTCAAAAACCATCAGACATATTAGATACATATTAAAAAAATAAAAACATTGAAACAACCAAATTTCCGAGACAACACCTACTACTTTTAGAGTCCTGAAGAGGAATTTAATTAAATTCGAAACGTCGGAAAAACATTTGTTTTTTTAAGAAAAAATTGATCCTGTTACCCAACGAACCTTTCTTCAGAGTAATAATTTACATTCATACTCTAACACAGAGGTTCTCAAACTTATTTTGTCTACTGCCCGCTTCGAGACTTAATTATTTTCTAGCGCACCCCAATTTTTTTACTTCACTACATCTCAAGAATCACAATAGCAGTCATTATTTTAATAATTAAATTATGTGTATCATGTGAAAATAAGACTTTCTGATGAGGGTAATGTAAAACACCATTTTGTTATATTATTTATGCTATTAAAACAAACATTTCAATTTGAATTTTAAAACTAATGTGAAGGATGAATTTGATGATTTTTAACAATTTTGTTAGTATCATGTTCCAATTTACTCAAAAACAGCCGTAAGTCACCGCTTTCGGTAATCTGCAACCGATTTCTTTTTTTTAGTTAGCAACGTTGCCACATCACTAAATTCACGTTCACACATGATGGGAATGCTATCAAAAATCGTTAAACGATGTACCACAATCCAGGGTAAAATTGCGGTTTTGGCTTTTGTAGCCAAAATTCTTGGTATCCATTTTTGAATTTTCTTTTTATTTTCTCGTTCGTTATCAGTTCTATGAGTTCCTCTTCCAGCTGAGGCGACCCTGCTGTGTTGACATATTAAAAAGGATCCAACACCCAGTTCGGTATTTCATATTTTAAAGTTTCCTGGAATCGTTTTGCGAAATCACTGTAGAGGTTCTCCAAATATTGGCAGTAAACAAGCAAGTCGTCGTTGTTGAAGAATACAAATTAGGGAAATTGCGAAACTCACGTCTGCCGATTTCATTCTTGTATAAGAGCAGTTTGGCTACAAAAGCAGCAATGACATTTTTGTTTTAATTAAATTCAAGTCGTCACCTTGAAGTTGGAGATTGACATCATTTAATAATTTATACAGGTTTGTCAAGTACGCAATATCATTCTTTGAAGTGATGAGGTTGTTGTGCAATTCTTTGTCTTTGTTTTCCAAGAACTCTATTACAGAGTCAAATAGATTGTAAAATCACACGTATTACAATATCTAACTGAATTGAGAATTTAGAAGTCTTCAGATGATTGTACAATGACTCTTCAATGTTTTCGGCCACCTCATCAATTCGTCTTTGCACGGAACTATTGCTCAAAGGAATTTTTCGGATAATATCTGCCGCTGATTTGGAGCACAGTAGTTATTAGTTTAATTGCCGGTAAAATTGAATCATCTCCAATAGTGTGAGGTTTACCTGTTTGAGCAATTAGCAAGGAGATAGAAGTCGCTGAAAAAAGGTTTGGCATAGTTAGGTGAGCTGAATGTTTCTATTTCCAGATCTTGAAAATAAGTCACACTTTTGGATTTGTGGGATTTTCAATATATCCATATTTTATAATTTCGCGCTATACTGCTGTTTCTTCTTTTTTGCTTCCGACATAATTTTGTCTTCAAAAATAGCGAAGTAAAGAATCGAGTATTAAAAACTTGCAAATGACACCACTCACAGTATTCACCATCGCACATACACCACTTTACCTAGCTAGTCGCTAACTGAATTCATTTGTTTTCGAAATATCGTCAAATGACATTACTGGCTGTGGAAAGTCATCTTCGTTTCAAGCAGGTTGGCGCCCAGCTCTCTTATCCTTAAGACTGATGCTCGTCAGAAGGACGAGCGGGTGGTCAATACTGATTATTTGGTGGCATTATGAAAGTCCTCAGACATCGTTATCGCCCTTCACGGTGAACCCCTATCTGGCTGGAGTGTTTGGATGAAGATATCGTTCATCTTCTAACGGAGGACAATACATTACTGGCTGGATGGCGCGCGCGCTTTTATATGAGGCAGCAGGCGGGCCTAGTACTTTCGAGAATGGAGACTAGAAACTTCTCGCTTCGCATTGAAGCTTACCGTCATCTATTGTACAGTTTGACAACTGTCAGACAGGAAATAGTTACTGTCTAGTCCCCTAGATGGCGATAAACGAGGAAACGAACGTTAAGCGTAAAGGAGCGGTAAAGTTTGTGTCAAAAGCAAAAAACATTTTCAAATTAGCCATCGCCCCCCTAAACCGCTTCAACGCCCCCAATCTACTCTGTGCCCTTTACTGCCCCTCTATAGGCCTCCAGGGCTCACAAGGGGGCGTTATCGCCCACTTTGAGAAATACTACTTTAACAGTAGTTCATTAATCAGACTATACATTGTTTTTTATTATTCAACTGAAACAACAATTTAGGAAACACAAATATATTTAATTCAAAGTAGGTGATCGAAATGATGACCACCTCGTTGAATACAAAACATTCAATAACATTTGAGGCGTCACTCTTCGAAAAGCAGCCCTTATTAATATTTTCCAGTATGGTTGGAGTAGGCAAGTAAAATCTGGTGATCTCGCTGGCCTATTTTGTGGTCCTCCCCAACCAATCCATTTAACCGGAAAGCACATATTTATTGTTATCAAAAGTATGTTAATCCTCACTAAACGTGTCCAGAACCCATAGACAAAACTCGATTCGTCAATGGAAGGTCATGTCATATAATTCCTGGTGCATCTGAATACGGTACGAGTGAAATTTGTATTTATTTGTTGCCCTAGAAATGATCCGTTTGCTTAATCCTGTATTTTTCTCGATGGAATAAGTTTTCATTTTCAACGGTAATAATTCAGTGAATGTTTTGGATAACGTAACACACAAGAGCTGTCAATGAGAATTCTTTCAACAAGTTGAATAAATGTCGTTTCAAAGTTATCTTGATTTCAAGAATGCATTGAAATAGAACTATTTGCCAATTATATGTGAACAACTATTTTATATATATTATATTGTTAAAAAAATACAGGGTGTTTGTTCTCTTTAAAATAACAAAGTTATATTTGTCTGAAATTATAAAAAAGTGACAAGGACCTTTTATGAAATCTTATCATTTTTTCCTGGCCTATTCAAAAGTGTAACGAAATACAGGGTGTTCCATTTAAAAAACACAACTTCGATATGTCACTTTTTTGAGCCTACAGGGTGGCTCCAAAATAATTTTCTTTTGCAGCCTTAATGAAATGGAGAAAATCCCGAAAAAATTAATGGTTTGGTTTACAGGGACCGTGTCGTATGAGGTGCCCCACTCTGTATATGGGATCTGTATATGATTTCCCAATACTCCTACCCAGACATTTATTTTCTCAAGAGGTTGAGTGTGACCTTCCCGTTCAAGGAAAAGTGTATTCGTGACTAAAACAAATACTTTTTATGCAGTATTGATTATCAATCAAATATTCGAATATTAACTCACAAAACTGTATTCGCAGCAATTTCTCGTCCTAGATAGATTTTCTTCTAGCCCCTCTGAACTCTAGCTACACTGCCAGTTGTTTACACGTCGAACTACCCGACTACCGACCTACATATACAAATGAATAATATCAATTTATTTATAACATCCGTTGATATTTTCGTTTGGGGTTATTATAAAGAGTTTGTTTATGCACGAGAAATGCTCTTGAATCTTTAAAAACAGTTTTCTCGCACATCAGGAGATGACGACTCATCTCCAAACTTGGTTAAAAAACACGTGCCGAGAAACAGTATTTTTTTGGTGTGGCAAAAAAGTGTTTTTGATAGATTTATTTCACGTCAGAGGTTCCAAATCTACCTATCAAAAGAATCCATCCTTTACTTCCTCCGCAATGCACAATGATTAGTCGCGATCATTTGTTTGCAGGCATGTTAGGCGTACACATTCTCGAACCATCAGTCCACCCTTTCGTAACTGTGTCGTGAGTGTCACACCAAGTTTGGTCCAAATAGAAAATTTGCCGTTGTTCTTGTCTATATTTAGTTATTTGTTCTAAGTATTTGTTACGCAATTCCACTATTCTTCTGCTTTCCATAACAACATATGTTGTACCTTACGTTGTTGCTTGTAATAGTTTGTTTCCCTCGAAACCAAACTTGAGATGTAGATTCTTACATACATTGAAACATACTCTCTGTGTTTCAGTATTCAAATGCATCCGAATGTTATTTACTGGTATATCTTTTTCGCATTGTTCACCATCGTTATTGGAATCACTACACTGGAAAAAGTCTACGTTGTTATTACACTCGTTATTACTATTAGTATTATTAGTAGTATTGTTAGTAAATTTTTGAGTAATTATAACTGCACCAATATTGCATTTTAACACTCAAATCGCGATCAGTTCCTGAACTGAGATAACCATCCCCGCATTTCTTGATTTCTATTCGTCACCGTAACATGACTTCAAATTTAATTTTATGGCTCTTCAACCAATCATAAAACTCTGTTAGTAAAAATTATCCAATACGAACCGCCAATTCTGCAGTCTACGTGGACTATTTCGCAGCCGGTTCATATATATTGGTTTTTTTGGCCTTTGAGAGTACCGCCAACTTTAAATGTTCACAATATCGTTTACTTCGACTACACCTAATGTTATTTCCTATGTAACTGATACTAATCTTTTACATGTTCGCTACCAGCGATTGCGTAGGGCTGATTACATAGTTTTTGTTCTGGTGAGAGACAAGTGTTTTTAGTAGATTCATTTTCAGTTTGTTTGGTTCGTTTAAGATATGTTCATCCTTAGGATTGATAAAATAGGCAATACTTAATATTATCAAGAAACTATGGGATTTCTTCGATTTTTGATTTATTAAAATTGAAAATTCAGCTCTGCCCTGCTTGAACATAAATTTTTCACTGTTGATCAAAAGTTTTCCAACTTGCATTGATGATGAGAAGCTGATAATTTTGTAAGCGGGCAAATAATTCATAAGATTTATGTTCCAAAGAAAGGAATCGATTTGAAAAACCATTAATAACTTGATAATTCGAAAACTACAAAAACTTGGATAACACATTTATGATATAGATACCCCACTTTGCGAGGAATCTAATGTTATTTGGATCTGTATATTACCATGACATACTATTATTGTGTGTTAGAAACAAATTCTCGAATAATACCCAACATACAGAAATGTCTGTTAATATTTTCATTTTGTGTATTTCAAGGAGGCGTATTTGAACAAAGCGAATTACCTCAGTAGAATCGGAGATAAAGAAAACGCTATCAAAATTTTGAGCCAAGCCTTCGATAGGACCGTCGCTCTGGGCTACAAACTGGACAACGTGTTTCATTGCATCAGAATAGGGCTGTTCTTCATGGACAACGATTTGATTCGACGGAATCTCCAAAGGGCTGAATCTCTTATTGACCAAGGTGCCAACTGGCATAGTCGAAATTGTTACAAAATGCTGAAAGCGATATATTCACTGTACACTAGAGACTTTTTAACGGCCTCGAAGTTGTTGGTTGGCGCCGTCTCCACCTTTGTTTGCACAGAGCTGATATCCTTCGATTATTTCATAAAGTACACAGTTTTATCAGGTGTACTGGCCTTGAGTCGCGCCGAAGTAAAGAAAGATCTGATAGAAAACCCCGATGTCCAACAGGCTCTGCATTCCACTGACGTGCTCAGGGAATACTTATCCTCGCTATACTATGGCGAGTACAAACTTTTTTTCCAGAGACTGGGCGATTGCGAGCTCATCATGAAAAAAGACATGCTACTCAATCCTCACTACAAGTACTACGTGAGGGAAATGAAGGTGAAGGCGTACGACCAATTACTTTCTACTTATATATCGGTGAAGCTCACGTATATGGCTGATCAGTTTGGCGTGTCTAAAGATTTTATCGAAAACGAAGTTAGTAAGCTAATTGCCGCTGGGAGATTGAATTATAGGATTGATAAAGTTAACCAGACGATTGTTAATAAGGGAAAAGATACCAAGAACGAAGTTTTTAAAGCAGTCCTGAAGCATGGTGACCTTTTACTCAATCGAATACAGAAATTAACAAGAGTTATAAATATCTGATTCATGTTGATAAAAATATTCTTCGAAACAATGTGCAAATATGTTTTTCGGATATTATTGAATTTTATATTTCATTTTTACAAACATCTCTCCAGAAGTATTCATATACGTATTGTCATATACAGGGTGTTTCCTAACTACGGTACGAAACGTCAGGGGGTAATTCGTTGGGTCGTTTTAAGAAAAAAAGTTATCATGAACATATGTCCGGAGTTGCTTCGATTCTGAGATACAGGTCGTTGAAGTTGAAAAAAAAACGGTATTTATGAAATATAAATATCCTTACACCGATTTGGTTGAAATTTGCTATAGTTATTTGAAGTAATGAGGCGCTTATTTAGCTTCGTTTTCGAGAAAAAAAAGAAGCCACTTTTCAAATCATGAACACCTGCTTTGGATACCAGCTGATAGTGATATAGTTGTCATATCAGTGAAAGTTATTGTTGTCAATTAGCAGTGATTCCATAATGAATAATTTTACTAACGCTAAAATGGCTGACATGAACTTTATTTATGGATTAGCAAATGGAAATGCGGAAGAAGCACAGAGAATCTACCAGGACAGAAATCTTAACAGAGTAATTCCATGTGCTAAAACATTTAGAACACCACATGCAAATTTATGTGAAACTGTGAGTTTTAATAAAAATGCTGGTGGTGGGATACCAGAATTTGTAACAACGCCTGAACTAGAAGAAGCTATAATCCATGCGATAGAATACGAACCTTCAAATAGTACTAGAAAGATTGCACTGCAGCTGGAAGTCAGCTCAAAAACCGTATGGACAGTTCTGAAAAGAAACCTCCTATATCCATATCACATACAGCGGGTCCAGGCTCTACTGCCTCAGGGTTTTCACCCAAGATTAATGTTTTGAGGAGATTGATGGCACACAATAATAATAATTTTTACAGCATATTTTATTTTCAGTCAAAGCAAATTTTTCACGAGATGTTCTTATGAACTTTCACAATGAGCATTTTTGGGCCGACGAAAACCCCCACGTCATTAGAGAAAGTCATTTTCAGCAACAATGTTCGCTGAACGTTTGAGTAGACTACCTAATTGGCCGGTTCTTTCTACCAGCAAGATTAACAGGTGAATCCTACACTGACTTGTTGCGAGATCATTTACCCATTTTGTTAGAAGTGCCGCTACTTGTAATACATGTGGTTTATGCACGATGGGACTCCAGCTCATTTTAGTGCTCGTGCTCTCGACATCACCTACCCTAATCACTGAATTGTACGTGCAGGACCTCAAAATTGGCCAGTTCGCAGTCTTGATATGAATCCTCCAGATTTGACTTGAGGAATCGAATAATTGATAAGGAATACCACGAGGAAATGGACGCGTAGAAATTCGAAAGTTGGTTTTAAAAGATTTTACCAAACTTTGAGCCAAATTGTTGTTGTCATGGACAATGCCTCCCACCACAGCAAACAACTGCCTGGCGGAAAGCTGATATCATTAACTAGCTGTCTCAAAAAAAAATGCCATTCGACGATAATATGTTAATAGTTCAGTTACTCAATATTGCATGGAAACATATACCTCATCAGTTGATTAAATATGTTATCCTCGTGAGAGGAACATAATTTACACCGCCTCTCACCTTACCATTGTGAGCTAAACTCGATCGAGCTAATATGGGCTCAAATAAAAAAACAAGTGGCGAGGAAAACTTGACTCTTGAAATGAATGAGGTAAAAGACCTGTTAGCTACTGTCATAGAAAATGTCACACCCGAGTCATGTATAAAATGCATTAGATACACGATCTCGAAGGACATTGCAATTGAACCATTGAATATTACCTTGAATAATAGCGATAGTTGCTCATCATGCGACGAGTTTTCTTCAGACGATAATGAATAATAGAATATTGAAAGTTATTTTAAACTTTTTGCCGGAGGTAATGGTTTATGTGATTATTTCTTTTTACGATTATTTGCTGAATTTAAAAAAAATCACGATAGACCACTTAGGGACAGTTTTACATAAATTAAATTATGAACAACCATATCTATGATTAATCTAGATGTAAAAATTCAAATTTTGGTCTAAAAATTTGAATTCATGTCAGAATGAAATTGTTTTATGTTTTATGTCGAGTTTACTTCCAACAAGATGGATCACCCACTCATAATACCAATAAAGTTATCAATTTCGCAATAGAGCATTCTCATAATGAAGTTGTTGGTCGAGTAAGGCCGCTTGCTCTCCGTATCTCACTTTATTTGGAGATTCAACAGCCTCAGCCACTCTTGAAGTCTTAGGGGGAAAACTTTATAAATATAACGCCTCAAACGTTTTAGAGAAACACTTGAACTAGCTGAAATGTGACTTGTACTTTGAAAATCTACTGTATTGAAATTTTGTCAAATAATTCAGGTGTATCACTTTCACCAATTCAGTTCCTTTTGTTAATCTACTGCCAAATAAATTAGTATGGTTTGTTTGACGTCAATACTTTGTTCAAAAAATGATTGGCAAAAATGACCATCTTTGGAAAAATAATATTAACGAAAATGTAGTTTTGCCAACTTGTCTTATTCCTATCTGTCATACTAGTCACTAAAACTTTGCTATTATAATTTTATGACAGCACGTGATGTTCTTAGAATAGTTTACTTGCGATCATGGTGGTCATGAACGGAAGTATGTATATTTTTTGCGTATCTAGGTATGATTGTAGGGGTACATACTTGTAGTCATTGTTCTAGGACAACGTTTGAACCATGCCATTTGATAGGTTAAGATGCAGTATTGCATTTGGTTTATACCTTTTTTTCATACCTGTTAATAAAAACATTCTATTTTTTATTAATCTCAATCATTTCTGTAAATATTTATTGATAAACAGATATACGGTAACTATCCGGTATCCGGCCTATCCGGTGGAATACCGGATAACTAGCGCCTATATCCGGCCAAATACCGGATATGAAAAAAAAATTTCAGTTAATTAATCCTGTATTTTGTTTATATCACTTGAAAAATACAATCAGTCATCACACAATAATTCTACAATTTAGAAAATGAATTATTACTCATAATGCACTAAGGGCAAATTATAGTAAATGAATACTAATTTCTCCGCATTGAGATCAAACGGTTTTGCTTGGCTTCGTAAATAAGGCCAGCTTTAGTAAAAAGTCTTTCGCTGTACACGCTGCTGCAAGTTGCTGACAGATAGAAGCACTTCAATGTAAGTCAATGAATGAAACAATTTTCAACACTCATCAACAAAAATATCCGAATTGGACCACCCTATCGTTCGCGCGACGGGCGTTCTTCATGCGACACACCAAATGGCAACGTTCCGTCGTATATTCGGCGGCCGAATATCCGACATTCGGCGGCCGAATATTCGACATTTGGCGGCCGAATATCCGACTATCCGGCTGTAAGTTTGGCCAAATATCTGGTATCCGACTAAACTGCTATCCGTTTCATCTCTGATAAATACCGCCACAAATCGAAGAGTTCACTGCATTATTTCTTTTCAATTACCATACGAATTCGAAAAAAATCATTTGTCAATTTAGAAATGCATAGTTCGATGAGAGTTATTTTATTTCATTTCTTAGAATGCTAAATAAGGCACATTAGCTTATCATAACCGTCGCGACAGAGTTGTTATTTACATGGTAATACGAATTGAAATAATAAAGAGCTACTCACTAATGTTGATGAATCTGTCATTTCCGAGAAATGTTTGTATTAAAACTAGTGGCGTCTGTAGAGCCTTAGTTTTTTAATATGTTGCTCAGATTACGGCTTGAAACTATGTCGTGAATGAAATCTTCTTGGGTGGCGCCAGTCGACTTTCTATTCAATTAAAGTAAACCGCCTTCATCCACATTGTTGATTAACTTCGGTTAATAACCGAGAATAAAAAACATCAAATCCAGAAATGATATTATATATTTATAGGTGTCCTTTCAAAGCTTGCGATTTTCATGTTGGGCAAGTTTTCTCAAACGTTTTTTGTGAGAGATTCTAGCTTAATTATTGGTTGAAAAATCTCATTTGTCAAAATTAATAGTGAAAGTAGAATTGTAAGCCCCGGTGCAGTTCAAAAAGTGTCATGTAACATATTGTGGTAACTGTTGAGTTACGTTTGTTCTCAAGTGCTTGTAGTTATTATACAATTTTTTGTCATCATTTTCATCACCGACAGTGGAAATACAGCTACTGGCCGAACTTAATCTATATTTCGCTGATTCATACATAAACATTTTATTTTGTCATTTACTTATACTTCAATNTATTTTACAGATATACCTATTATGTATGGTGAATCACACTTTGAAACTGTCAAACGACCATAGCATGCTATAAAATTTGTCATAAATTCGAAAACCGGATGGATCTATGAATCTAACAAATTATCAATGAAAAAATCGTTAAATTAAAATACCTACTAATTTATACCATATTGCAAAATACAGGTTGTTCTATAAATAAACGGTAAACTTTATATTTATATAATAGAATATAGTTTAGGTTGTCAATGCCGTATAAATTATTTCATTGATTATGTACCATGACGTCACTTTTACTTTTCCTCCCTAGTGAGGAAAAGTACGACTTTGCTCCCTACAATGAGGCCAGGAAATGAATACTTTGGATAGAGGTAGGCAGAAAATCCATTATTCCACTAAAATCACTAAAACACCTTTTATCCTTCAAATTCTTTACCTCGTCAAAATTTTGTTCATCTGCATTTCGTTTCAAGCTCTCTAAAAAAGGGGTCATGGCTTTGTTTTCAATAAGAAGTTTTTTTTTTCGATTTTATCCAAGGTATAAACTGAAGCCTGAGAAGATTCGATCAAATAATTTTAACGAGGAATCTGAAAATAACTTGGTTGAGAGTTTTGTGTGAGAAGATGCCGAGTTCTGATTACCAGAACGTGAAGTAATCACGGAATTTTACATTTGAGATAATCGTTGATATGTGTTCATTGCTTAGCAAACTAGATCAAATGCATTAAAAAAACTAATTAATACAGATGAGGAAAATTTGAACCTTGGGCGTAAAATAAA